TCTCGTTGAGTTTCCATATTCGTATGGAATTCTTTGCTGTCTTTCTCGCTTTTCTATTGCCAACTTTAACTAATAAAAGTCGGGTTATGAAATAAAACCAAAATTTAACGAAACTTTCCTAAATTTGTGTTTTTCAATAATCTATCGAATACTGAAAGCCACAATAACTTCCTGTATTTTGTTCAATTTGTGTATGAATCTTATGATTGACACCGTACAATGTTGGCGATAAGCAAGGTCCTCAAGAGATATTGTTTATTATTTAAGAGATGTAGTCAGAGCTTGAACCGTTGTTCGCTTCTCAAAGTCTTCTATGAAAGTAAAAATAGATGCCTCGAAAAGCCGGCGGCGCCAGTCTGATCTATGTTTACGCTATCAGTCAGAGATTAGTCGCTACTCAACGCCTTTTTTGAAATTAGCTGAACGCCATTACTTTCATCCTCGCTTAGGTTGAACTCAGCCACTATATGTTAAATGACGCAGCGGGTAAACAAATGATTCTGCTAATATGGATGCACCGACTCAGAGAGATAGAGAGGTAGAGAAAGTATGGCTTGTACAAATTGTCAATCTAGACTAAAGCATAAACTCGTCCGTTTCCGGCGCTTGCTTATCTGGACAAAAAAAATGTTTGCCTCAAGGAGATCGGCATCCGGTCTACTTAACGGTAATAGCTTTATGCTTAGATTATCGTAAACATGGTTGTGAAGCGTACCATACAATGTTGTGGCTTGTTCACTACGCAAGGAGATTTAGTATCAATCTCTGTCACATTTTTGTTTCTTAAAGTCTGCGATGAAGGTGAGAATAAAAATACCTCGAAGTAAGCCGGCCGCCTATAGTCTGATGTCTTTGAGCTACGCTTAGGTTAAACGAATAAGAATAATTTCAAGCCGCCGCACGTTGCCCCGCTCCGTTGACCACTGCACGAGCTTGTGGACAAAGTCTAAGCGCGCTTGTTTGTGATCCGGCTTCAACGGAGGTTTGCTCACCGATTTTTTCCATTTTACATAATCTGAATGTTCTGGACGGTGCTCTTATTTTATTTCAATATGAAATGAATCTTAAACAGGATAACGCTGCCATTCTTTTTTCAAAAGAGTCTTTAAAATGGTTTGAGGAGCAAAACCGTTATGAAGTGGCCTCCATTGGCCTCCATTGGAGAACAAATGGGAATGAATTTTGCTCAAAATACATGGAAAAAAATCTCAAAGAATACCTTATAAGACAGTTTTGGATCTGAAGTTGGCCAGTAAGAGAGCTTGGGAAGATTTGGACCGCACAATGCTGTAAAACTTGGTTATCTCGATTCCAACTCGTAGTTTTTTTAGGTCCTTAAGGAAAATGGATAAGCTTTTATTCAAACCATATAATTTATCGTCGAGGAGAAAGAAGAGAGAGAGAGAGAGAGTCCCAGCATATGGAGAATTTCTACACGACTCTAACCACCTCTTCACATGCCCCCTTAAGTCGACACATCTAAGCACCCCTCTCCCTCTGATCCGATTCCGTCGAAACAGCACGTTACCTGGAACCTACCGTTAGATGAACTCGGTGTCTTAGATTGATTTGAAAGCTGTCCATAAACGGGGATAACGTAGTCCCTACAACAACAACAACAACAACAACAACAACAACAACAACAACAACAACAACAACAGAGTGAGAGTATACTATGTATGTTACTCTAGACAAAAACCTAGCAACTACTAAATATCAAGCAAATCGAAATTTCTCCCTCGTCCATTTCCGGTATTTATTGTATTTGTGTAGACAAAATGAAAAATTTCATCTGAGTGAACTATAAAAATATCTGTCTCCTGGAATTTCATATAATTCGAACCATACTAGATATTTTATATATCGGTTCCAGGTGAACTTTCAAGAAGAACAATCGGTCCCAATCTCAAATTGGGCAGTTGTGTTTGTGCGTGATAATCTAAGAAGAGAACTTCTAAGTCCCGAAGAAACAGTGTTCCCTCTGCTCATGTCGTGGAATCGCTACCTAAAAACAAAATCTCACGCAAGACATATGTAGTAAAGTACCAATAAAGAAGATTTAGTAAAAGCACGCACCTTTGGTACGGTTGCAAGCGAATATAAGTCATAAAACAAGTTGGCCCAGGAGACATCACACAAAACATTCCTATTATTCAATGAACATGCAAAATTGCCTCGGAGAAGATTTCCACAATTAAAGACAACCGTTTTTTACGTTTCGGGAATTACGTCAAGTCCGGTTTCTTAATGCGGAGAGTGCAAGTGCACAGTTAGCAGATGTCCTCGGGAAGACAAGAGCTCACGTAAACTACAGGTGCTAAAGAGCACAAACTTTGTGGCAGGAATACCTAGAGGAGAGCGCTAATTTAAAAGTTTAAAAATATTGAAAATCTTCAAAAATATGTAACTAAACATTTGTTTCTATGAACACCGGTAGTGGTCTACAATATTAAACCATGGTATCAAAAGTTTCCTGCGAATCGGCAATAGTTGGAATTACATTACAATGCAGAGAAGGTCACAGGTCAGGTTTTGCCGCGATCATCTCGTATCCTTTATCATTTAGCCCGCTCCACGTCATTAGTATCACCGAATTTCTTGTACAAATCCCACTTGCATCATCTGTAGTACTTACCGTTGTAGATGTGGGTTTCTAGCCTAACTTTGCTGTTGTTGTTGTTGTTGTTGTAACCGCAAAATTATTCCCCAAAGTACTTTTTGTGGAATATTGCGGGAGTGACAGTCCTTGGCCAGATAAAAATCCGGGTCGTTCCGGTATACAGACCCGACTGTCACGGGAACTATTGGATTTTAGTCGCCTCTTACGACAGGCATGCCTTACCGCGGGTAAATTCTCGAGCCCCTAACCCGCAGGGGTTGCCTAACTTGCTCAAGGCGTGTGGTGAAGACCAAGTGGGGAGCATACTGTCTTCTTGTTTTCTGTAGTTTCTCTTTTTTTTTGTTCTTCTTTTCTTACACAGAAACACTAGGTACTTTCGTCCTTTTAAAGAAGTTCGGAAACTTGGAATAATTTCGATATCATTTCCTCATGCTGCGTTACCTCCTCTGAAGCGTACCGAACTGCTGAAAGTAGTCCCGACCGATTGATTGCTTATGTTTTGCACAGTAGTGTTCCTTATGTAATGTACAGCTGCTTTTGCACATTTATATGTATGTACAAGTGAGTATATACACGAAAATATAGCTCTCCTATATATTTCGTACCTTTTGGGGCCACACAATTATAATTTACCTACGCTTAGAGCCCAATTGAATTGTATCCTGAAATACATATATATATATATATATTTATATGTATGTATGTATGTATGTAAGCGCATATTTATAATAAGTTTCTCATAACACAGCTAAGAAAATTATGGAACGTCAAGTGAATTTTCAATGAAAAATTTTTAAAATTATTGAATTGCATTGAGCGACAAAGGTAACTGGAAGGCCACTTCAAAGGTATTTACATAAATATGTAGGCATGCAGGTGAATTTTTCCAGTCAAAGAGAGCAAATGCAGTTAAAGTTAGTTGTTTTTGTTATTGGTTTTGCTTGCATAGGAAATATCTGCAGATGCCTAACAGGTGTATACACAGCGCTCATTCACAATAGCTATACAAAGCAACAGCACAAATACGGCTGGTGTAGACAAGAGAGATAGAGTGAGAAAGAGAGAGCCAGAGGGAAAAAACGGCAAACCACGCCCTAACAAGAGCATCTCTTTCATGCATAATTGATAAGACTGAGTAAACTAGCGAACAACAGAGAGTGCGGATGGCTGCTGGCTTAGCCTATATATACATGTTGACAAGAAGTGTCGTTGGTTACAGTGCTGAGAGCAAGAGATTGTTCGTTGCTGGTGTGTTGTCTGTCCATGCGTTGTTGTAAGAACCCCACCCCGTGTCAAGATGGCTGGCGCTGCTGAGCGAGATTGCACAAGTCACAGATAGATAGACCGACATTTTCGCTAGTAGCTAAGCTAAAGCCATTGCCAGCGTATTGGATAGAGTCGCGCTATCTTTGTTGCGCCACCTTGACCTCCATATTGGAAATCGCTTGCCAATACTCATTGTCTCTTCGTAGCAGCAGTGAATGTATGTATGTATGGGAGTGTGCATGGAGTTGTGAGTTGGAGCTGGCGTGCGAGCTGTGTATGTGTATGATGTATGAGTGTGTGTTTTTATAGTGGGGAGTTACTGCTGGCTTCTCAAAGCGCGATTAGGCAAAGCAGTCTAAAATAAAAAATAAATAAAAATTAAAAAATTATTAAAAAAAATATCTGTGTGTTCGCGCTTATCTCGCGGCGAGACTTCTATTGAGGGTGTGAAGGGTACGCAGGGGCATGCGAAAACATCTTTTTAAGGTTAGGTACTTTAGATCAAGTAAGCAAGTTTTCTTTTTTATATAAGATACTGTAAAATGCTGTGTCTCAAAAGCATGGAATTATTTTCAAATCGAAAAAAAAAGATAAGCTGCCATGCTGATACTCCTACATACATACATATCTACATATATATACATATATATGTATGTCCCCACATAACATGCATGCCTGCTACAAAAAAGCTTATCTAAAGCCTTTTTTCGCATAGCCTTCACTTGTCTTAATGTTGCTTTTGGGTTCCGAAAGCCGACTGCCGCTTTAAGCAGGACTACGAGCTGGAAGACGCAGCGTGCCCGCTCGTCGCAGCTTCTTTAGCGCCACACTGGTTATGTTAGTATGCAATTATGCATGTATGTGCGTATGTAGTGGTTCTGGTGGTGGTTCGGGTAGTGATTGAAATTCGCCCTAAACGCTTGCCGACAGACAGCGCAGCAGCTTAGTTACGCCAGGCTGGCCAAAAATCGTGCGATTCTCGCCTGCGAGTCTAGTGGTTGTTCGCTTCGATTTCATAACAATTCGATTTAAATGCGAATTGTCCGTACACCAAGTGTAACGCGTTTTTGAATCCGTTACCGTTAGTTTTAGCAAAACTCTTCATTGTTCATTGCTCGTTTTCTTATCTGTTTTTTTTTTGTGCGCTGTTGTCTAAAAGACAACGTATCTTCTGCTTCGGTGTGGCTAATACCGAAACACACGCACACGCACACGCACACCCACAACACAAACGAAAGCGCGAAGAGAGTTTTAATGGCAATCTAAGGGCATTAAGATGCTCCCAAAACGGTCAGTCGGGTCAATGGAGTGACAGAGCTCAGACACACAATCAGCAAGAGCAAACTTAACCACATTTTGTCAGTGCAAGTGCGAAGGTAGTGGAGATTCCAGTGTTGTAAAGTGTACGGTGCCATGGATTTAATTAAAAGTGTCAATTAAATTATAAACGTGAATTAAGTGGTTGGCTTAACCGCAGACGAAGGAAGAGAGTGTAACGGAGGGGAGCTTGAAAAGTACACAGCAAAGCGGGCGAGAACAGTGGAGAGGTGTTGGATATTTGAAAGTGTGTTAATGACTTGAGCACGAATAATAATATTAAAAATAAAAAAAAAATTGAAAAGAAATCAACGTGAAAAGACTTAAATAAATAAGTTGTGCCGCTAAATAACTCGTAAGAAAATTAAAATTTTGTTTAAAAAAAAATTTAAACATCTATATCATCCGTCCCGCCAGCATAACTGCACTTGAAGGATAAACAAAACGAATCCTGAATTTTTATCAAAAACATTTAAGCAAATTAAATTCTTTCTCTCTTTTTCTTTTGGCGTTAATTCAACGCTACATGTATGTGTGTATGTATATAAATATATATATATATATATATGAGTAGGAATGCCGATGAAGCGATATATGCTTTCACTCCAAAGACATTTTAACAACACCTTGGACTAAATATTTGTATGAACCGTTAAATTAATTAATTTCTATGGTGGCAAGCCGCTTGATTCCGGAACTATTGGCATAGGTGGAGGTGAGTTCCTTTTAATTACTGTTTTCGATTGCTTTTCGAAATAAAAAAGTTTTTTATGCTTCTTTTTATGTTTGTTAGATCGTTAGATGGCCAAAAAGTTTTCGCCTTTGGCAGTGAGAGATTGCGGAAAATGTTTTCGACTTTTTTTTAAACATAAAAAGTAATTACTTTTCTCTAATTGCGGTCGTCGCTCAGCAGCGAGGGTCGAGCCTTGAGATTGTATTTCTGACATGAAACTCAAAGCTCCTCATTAAAGCCCTTCGGCCGTTCGGAGGCTCCTTAGAACAAGTTTTACCTTAATCCATTTATTGGAAAAAATATCAATGCGTACATCACTAACTATATACTTTGTATATAGACATGTATGCTATGTATAATATTCTTACAAAATTTTAAAAGAATTTTTTTTCGAATCGGAAACTGAACTTTATTTACATGTACGAGGGGACAAGAAAAAAAGATAATTTTGTATTTATTCGTAATCTTTATCATTTTTACCCTCTCTACACAATCGCCATTGATTTCTATACATTTCTTAAGCTTATAGACCCTCTTCTTGAAAAAGTCAAAATTTTGCCTTTAAGCTTATCGAGTTCAGCATTATCATCATCATAATTGATATTAAAGACTTTTCCTTTTCAAATTTTATTTTAATTTTTGTAAATAACCAGAAATTATAAGATGCTACATCAGGGAATATGGCGCTGGACCTATTCCTTCGATCCCAGAGATTGCAGCTGGACTGGCGCGTTGTCGTGATGTAAAAAGTTGCCCCAGCTCCTATTTCCTCTTGTTTTTCAACAAATTTTTTAAAACTTTTGGTAATCAGACTTCGGTGTATTATTTTATATTTAGCGTCTGACCCTTTTCCAGTGAATTAGTAGCTACTCGTTCTTATAGAGCCAAGATTCGTCAACAGTAACGACTTTAGTAAAGTTGCTATACTGACTATTTGCGAATTTGTTTATGAAAAATTGAGCAAAATGCACTTGAGCCTTTTCTTAGACCCAGCAGATTTCTTCGTGTATCCCAGATGATTGCTTAATATTCCCGATACAGTCGTGGCGTTCAAGCCCAATTCATTAGCAATAATTTCTTGTGTCAAACGTGTGTCTTCTTGAAATTTGGACTTCCCCAGAGTTACAGTGACGCCAGCAGTGGGACATTTTGGTCGACCATTTCGCTGCTCGACCTCCACGGAAAACTGTCCGTTCTGGGATCATCGGAACCACTTAGAAATAGTTTTTAAATACGGTGCAATCGTTCCATATGCAATTTGGCATTCACTGAATATTTGTATTGGCTGTAAATTACGCCGAAATTCTTTTTGCGTTGGTAATGGATATCCGTCTGAACTATCCTCAGCTATCTTGCGTTTTCTCGTCTCCAGATTAGTTGAAAGTCACCAAATCACCGAACTCTTGCTAATCCCCTCGTATGTCATTATGGAATTTTGATTTCAAAAAAATTCTTGAACCTCTAGGTTGACAGTGTCGTATATTTGGAATACCAATTAAATACTAATTACCTATAAAGGATTTTTCAATGAGTGTTGAAGAATTCTCAGGCTAGTCTATTTCCCGTATTTTCCCGTTTGAAATTGGGCACAGTTAACAGAAGAACTCAAGCGAGCCGATCATCAACAACGCCGTTTCTTTGCTGATTGGGTCCTTAAAACTCATGAGAAAGATCCGGAATTTCATAAAAAAATCATCGTGACTGATGAAGTGCGTATCAACCTCGATGGCTACGTCAATAAGCAAACTGTCACATTTGTCTCAATGATTGTTAGAAAACCTCTTCATCATCAGGTGAATGATTCATGGGGTTCATTGGACCTTAGTTTTTCGAAAATCAAGCTGGAGCCACCATTATGGTGATTTGTAATTTTGAATGGATGGACTTGGTGGTATTAACGGTGCAATGTGCCACACAAGCAACGAAACCATCGATCTTTTAGGGAAAAGCCTCCGGATCGTGTTATCTCTCGAAGAGGTGATCGCAATTGCTTTTGATTTAACGCCTTGTGACTTCTTTCTTTTGGTGCAACGCGACACGTAAAGTCTACACCAACAGCACAACGACTATTTAAGACCTCAAATATGGAATTTGTATTGACGGCATACAGCGACCACTTTGCGATGGGGTGATGGAAAATTTCATCAAAATGATACGGCCCTCTAGGAATAGCGGTATCGGCCATTTGACTGATGTTGTTTTTCGTTATGATTGGCATATCTTTCACTTTACATTGAAAATAAAAATAACACCCCTTATTGGAAGACCCGGTATGTATATTTTTGGACCCACTATGATTGGCATAATTTAAGTAGAGCATATTTGGCTACAATGGCCAAAACGCAAAACCTCAAATTGGGGGAGACATTCGGCCGAAAATCGCTTGAGCGCTTACAAAGTGCCATTATATATATAATTTGGTGAAATTATCCTTTCCTTTGGTTATATAGAATTTTAAATACATATTCTAAAAACGTCGCAACAAGACTCAAAGTGAAAAAACAGTGATTTAAATAAGCTTTGAGTATTCATCGAAGCTCTTTATCATGTGCACACCTGCACAGCTTTCACTACTTTTGATTTATTTTTATTTTCGTTCTTATTTTATACCTTTGAACGGCATAAAAATGAATAATAGATATGCACATAAATATATCTAGCTGTATGGAATGATGGATTCTTCATGCTTTAGCCTTGATTGTCTGGCTGTCTGTCAGTCGGTCGGTCAGACATTTTTACGAAAGCTGGCTTACACGTTCTTTGGGTTACAAGAATGGATGTTTTTGAATATAAATGAAATCGAACAAAGTTCAGTAACAAGATTTGCAATGAAATCATATATGTTTGGGATGATCGCATTTATTTTTTTGATTATACAGAATTCATTTATTTCTGGATCTGCTATAATATAAGATTAACAGTAAGTGTACAAATCTTAAAAACTAAATTACAAACATGATAGTTCGAGTTATGTAACTCTGAGCACATTTAAAATTACGGCGCTCTCCTTAGAAGGCGGGAAACTCTCTTCGCTGCAGGCGGAAATTTCATGATGGGTCGCATAAAGCATTTGCTAGCAGATTTGGATGATTTCACAGCTTTGTGAAGTACTTCGTCCTGCTTCTTTCAATTTCAGGCTTAACCAGTAAAATACCAAGGTCTTTATGCATATTTACGTTACGAACGTACCATGGTGCGCCCGTTAGTGCTCTTAAAATTTTAGACTGGAACCTCTGTATTTTATCAATATTTATTCGCATTAAATGGAAAAACTATGATACCAACTAAACCAATATTCAGATCAATCAGCAGAACTCATGCCACTTTTTATATAAACATAGGGCAGACCATCCAAGACCTGACAAAAGTCGTTCCAAAGGTTGAAAAAGAGACTCAATCATTAATTTATTGCAGGAATATGGAAAAAGAATAGAATTTTTACTAAGCCACTTAATTTATTGTAATATAAAAAAATATTCTTTAATTATTATTGTGTTACAAAATGAGAGTGATAAAGTCCATTGTTCAATCCATGATTTTTAGAAATGCGTCCACGGGAGGACTGATTTTTTCTAAAGAATGGGACGTAGAGAGAAAAGAAAAAAGTTTTACGATCTAGAAACGATGGTTTTTGCCAGTACGTAGCGAATTATTTTTTTTACTAATTTTAGTGAAAGAGGAAAACTTTTTAAATATTGATTTTTCACTTAAACATACGCTAAAAGAAAGTTTATATTTAGTCGAAAAACGGCTACGTACTTAAAGAAAAAAAAGAATTTGTGAAGTTACCATTAACATTTCAGATAAATCGATGGAAAAGGGTCCGAGAAAATCAGAGCACGCTCTGCTCGGCTGCAGCTAAATAAAAAGTTCAGCTATTTGAAATATTTTTTCACTTTAAAACTAATTGCACATAATTTCTAGGACCTAAAGGCAGCCTGTGCGCAAAAAAAAATTCATTGTCCAAAATCCCCTTAACCGAATATCTAATGTTTGTCGAAAAGGATTCCGTTTGCATTATAAATTTGAGACTCCATTGCCTCGCTGGTGCGACCTAAGAAATGGGATGACGAAAGCTGGAATTGTTCATTGTAGAAATGTCTTTTCCTTCCGCGCCATTCTCTCCCTTCTCTTCTTTCGCTGCTTGGAAATAACAAGTGAAACCAAGTCACTCTATAACTACTCCTTCCAACGCCGTGGATCTCTTCCCTTTCCTCTGCGATATTCAATAAACTCATGCCACGGTAATTGGTGTAGACTGTGGAGTCACCTTTTCTATAAAATGTTCAGAACACACATACATTCCAATAGTCCGGCAAGCTTGCCGTTGTATGCACCATCGGTTGCTCTCCGCCATGTATGAATAGCTCTGCTGGTAAGTCAACAACTCGATCAAGTCGATTTGATGTTCTTTAAACGAGTATGCGAGTCATAGTCCATTGCCATCGGTTAGGGTTTCGGGTTCATAATCCTTGGTTGTTGCGCTTCACTGCCATTCACTAGGCTGGTAGGTGGTGTGTTCTTTCTATAAATTCATTAAACTCTGGGCATCAGCCACTAGATCACCTGTTTGGGTTCTACAAGAGCTTTCTCCGGTCTTGAAACTTTCTGTAAGTCGGTGATCTTTATGTAAAATATTTGTGAGTTTAGTCTTAGTTATCATACTATTAAATGACCGAAAATACTATTTGGAGATTGACCAAATGAGTTGGGTGCGGATTTTTTTAACGGTATTTACTAGTATGTAATGATTTTGTAGCATAATCAATGTCCTAGAGGTCATCTACTAAATGGCCGGATTACGGCGGGGTGTTAGTTGCATGGGACTTAGTGCGTATGAAATAGATCATTTAGCGTCGTGAACTGTCGTATCTAAACTCATTAAGTTCAGGAAATATATGGATATATTTGGTTCGAGTATAGATAAAAACGAGCTGAGCCTGCCGAAATTTCTGAGGGCTCGCGAGGTAGTTCTAGTTTTTCGTCTACTTTGAGAGATGAAGTTAATTAATACTCTATGGAAGCCACCTATAGTCAATCGGTACTCGACCTAAATGGTGCTCACAAGGTCAACTACTATTGTACGTTCCTAATGCAGCTTGGATGCGGTTATGCTACAAATAGATGTTCGTAAAGATATTTGCTAAGACAGATCTCAGTAGATGTTGCTTTCACAGTATAATATTTTGCGTGTTCTTTAACGGAAGTTCACTTGTTTCACTGTGTAAGCGTTATGGACTGTTTGTTCGGTAGATGTTGCTTTTGAAAATATCATTGTTTGACATTTGACGAGTAAAATCTATGCCAGTGATAAACTTTGAATGACTTACGCATCTGAATTATTAAAATTTACTATAAAAATGATGAAACCCGTGGACAAAGGACGGTTCGTAAAACAAAAGCATTTTTCGGTCGTCGGTAGGCATCTTGTCGGAACGCCATGCAGAAATGGGTGGATAAAATCGAGCTGTGGCGACGAGTTAGTGATGTGATAGAGAATATTACTGTTGTAGTGCAGAAGAGAATGTACAAAATTCCTCCTCGCTCTTTGGAAACCAGCATAAGAAAGCAACTTAAGGGGTTCCATAGGTCTTAAAGGCCAAAAAAAGCTTTTTTTTTCTAATTTTTTTTAAATAAAGTGTAACAAAGTGTACATTTTACATATAAAAGAACAATATTTAGACAACATTTGATGAAAATTTGAATGAAAAATGGTATAAGTTAAGGCGTTGGCACAAGATGGTGTTAACTTTTTCAATTTTTTTTTTAAATCAAAAATCAAATTTTTTTCTTAGAGAAGATGAATTTTCCTTGTCCCAGGACGAAGAAAAACTAAAAAAATTAAAAATTGATTTTTTGTAGCGTTTTTATTACAAAAAACATCTTTTTTGCATCAAATAAGGCCACATATTTCCTTGTAAAATGAGTTGAAATAAAAATAAAATAAATCCTTCGTTCAGGGACCTCAAAAACCTGCTTAAAATAAGTGTGGAAATTTTGAACTCGATCGCTTCAATAGTCGTTGAAAAGTTTTGACTGCCGATTTCGATAAAGTGGTTTTAAGAAAAACGCGTTTAAAGTTGGTCAATCCATGACAAGGACGGCGGGTTTTACAACTCTCTAGTATCTACAGTTTCGTCTTGAAACTTGGGGGCCATATTTCTGACACTTTGAACTAAAAAAAATGAATTTTTTGAAGTTTTAAGACCTATATAACCCCTTGGGCATTTTAAATGCATGAAAATCATGAGGAATTTCATCGAAAAATCATTTTTCACCACGATGTCTACGTCAATCTGGGGCTCTGGAAGCCCAAGATTTATTATTGAAAAGTGCGGTTTATGGTCCTTCCTTTTTTTAAAAAACCATCCTGGATCAATAGTTACGGTGAATGCATTGCGCTATCGAGAGATGATGTAATGATTTTATATGTCCGGAATTGGATGCTATTGATCCGAGCAACGTTCCTTTTCAAAAAGGCTTCCTAACGTGCCACACAAGCAATAAATCCATTGATCTTTAAGGGAAAACTTTCCGGACTACTTTATCACTCGAAGAGATAATCGCAATTGGCTACCCAGATCTTATGCTTTAACACCTTGCGACTTCTTCCTTTAATCTCCAAGACCTCAAAAATGGAATCCATGAAGCTATTAAGACTCATCCACCAGGCTCTCTTCGATTTACAGTTGGAAAATATTATAAAAAGGATATGGTCCTGTAAGCGAGGCCTTTGTGGGTATTTGGCTGATACTGCCTGCCATTATTTATGGCATATCTTCCTCTTTATATCGAAATAACCATGCGATAATTTTTCTCAAAAAAGTTCACGAAACCCTTAGGTCTATCGGAAACTTAAAGAAAATTAACTCTAACACTAATATTTTGAAAATTAAGCCGATCCCTAGCATTCTTCAAAGTTGCAATTACGAAAATTTTGAAAAAAGCCTAATTTCTTAACGATTCTTTTGGCCCCCGAGAATATTGATTTTTTCGTTGACGATAATAAACAAAGAATTTAAACTTGCAAATTCGAATTATTTTATTTGTATTATTAACATTTGCTATAATGATGTGCCGGATACCTTATGATACTTGTGGTTTCATTTTTATATTTATTAAATTAATAATTAATTTATTTTTTTATTACAGAACACAAACATAAATATGTAGTGCTATCGCACTAATCGCTGCGCCATACGAACTGTGATAAATCATGTATACGATAGATTAAATTCTGTGAATGTAAAAGACATTGAACAACTACGGAAAAAATAGAAAATTAATTTAATTTTTTTTTTCAACACTTGAAGTGGAAAGCCGTCAAACTGTCTGCGTTGTCGATACGAAACTTTTCGGCAAATATGCTGAACAATTTGGGCGCCAATGTGTTGGGTAAGTTGGAAGGCAAGAAAAAAAACTAAATAATAAATAATTTAATAAAATTTTTAAATTTATAACTAATATATACGCGAGTATATGTACATATGTATAATAAAGAAAAATAATTTTTATTGCAAGTCTTTAATTAGCATTTGAAAAGTAGCAATTTAACGGTTCATATGCCAGCGTCTACATTGCTTTGTTGGCATTTTGCTAAATTATTGTTGTTGGTTTACATTTTTATAATTTTTTTCCAGTACATTTTCAAGCAAATAAACATAATTAAGATCACCTAGAGAATTACGCTAATCAATAATAATGTTTCAATTTAGCAATAACGCAATAGCGCAACAACAATAAGCACAACGCATTGAAGACAACAAGTAAATTAAACTAATTTCTTATGTATACCTTGTAGGAGATACTTTTGTATATATATATATAGTGTATATAATATATATACATATGTAAAAATATATTTACATACATACATATACTTATATTATTCCCACATTAATCTATAACAACTTAGCGTTGGACAGTCAATTGGTCGTCAGGAGGATCGTTGGGAATTTAATCAGCTTAATCAACGCTAAATAGCGGATAATTGAGCTGTTGCAAGAGTACACACATACATATGAATATAGGCAAAGAGTATGAGTAGCTGGATCGAAACGTAACTGATCGTACGTCTTAATTGTTGTAACTGTTTCAGGGGGCGGCGGTGGTAGATGGTGGCAGGGGATGGTGGTGGTTTTGTTGGCAGCTCTGCCGGCGGCGTTCCGGTTCAGTGGCAAGTGTTTGCTGATGTCACAATCATTTAGCAGTGCGTTGGCGGCTGACGGCTGGCCATGCGTTCATAGGTGGCATCCACTTACCACTTATTTAACGGTCAATAAGTTAAACATTAAACCAGAGTGTACATGCGGTGTTAATTGTAATAATTGCTCGACTCAATAATTGTGGAAATTATTTTAATGCAAATTATAACTGATTGTATAAATTATACAATATTAACTTCTTTTTACCGCAATGTTAATGATTTTTAAACACTTTCGATTTCGAACAAAAAAAAAAACAAAAATTATAATAATAAAAGTGCACGGGAAAAGCGACAGTGATACAGTTACATTGATTTGTAAATGTGTATGTACATTTGTATCTATGCATTTGCATATGCTCAAAGTACTTTTGAAAATATCAACGCACATTAGGGTGATCGTTCATTGGAAAAAATTAAAAAATATTTATTCTTCAGTTCAAAAAAGTCTAAAGGCTTTGAAACTTACAAAGTTCCAAAATACCAAAAAATAACAGTTAAAGTAACAACTACTGAAAAACGTATATATATGTATGTATTTTATAGTCAGCAAATTTTTAAAAATTGAAAGAAATGCCAATTTTGGGTGAAGGTGTCTATGTGCTATTTAAAGGAAATTAAAACGACACAAAAAGAGTGAAATTTTCAAATTTCGGATATTAATAGTGAAAGAAACGAGATGAAAACCATATCAACAACAGAAAAAAGCCACTTTACCGAGTTTTCTCGACTCATTGCCAGTGAAAATTTTGATATCTTTTTAAAGCATATTTTTTGATGAGCTATTATTATGATAAAGCAGAAAGGAAGATTTTTCACTTCAATTTGAAAATTTTTTAAATTCAAATTTATAACGCAAAGTAAAAAAATAATTATAATTTTTGTGATTACTTATGTTGAGGGTTTTCCAAAAGGTATTCTTAAATTTAAAGAAATATAGCATTTTTTGAGGTAAATTATCAAATTTTTTTTTATTGTAGAGAAAACCAAGCCTTATATAATGAAAAAAAATTTCAGCTAAATTGTTGCTAATCAACTCTCGTTAACGCATAATTAAATTTGTGCTATAATTGATTTTCGAAAAAGTAAGAACCAATGAACGGACCATTGACTTGAAGAGGGTTTCCAACAATAAATGCGACAGATGTGACATTTTTCCTTATTGAGGCAGCCACCGAGGGGGAGGTAGGCTTCAATAGTCATGCTGATGAAATTACAAATCATTTTCATGAACCTCAAAGACCCAATCAACAAAGACACCTGGCTTGAGTTCTTCGGTTTACTGAACTTTATAAGCCCTAAGACCTAAGTATTTACGCAAAATGCGGTGTAATGAATGACGAGGAAAGGAGAAACCTGCGATTTCTTCGACACTTCGAGCTACAGCAGCAGGTATTTTATTCTTCACATCACTTACTTGTCCCAACAGCTTCATCTTTCCACAGATGATTATCTGTTATTTTCGGAGTTTTTTTAAGATTTACACCAATGTGAGCATACGTACACATATCAGCAAACTTAATTTTATAGCAGTTGAGTGATTTTTGGGAATTTTTGTTAAAAAAATACTTTATCAATTCTTTCAAAATTTTAAGAATATATTTATACATATTTCAAGAATATACAGTGAAATTTTTGAAGAAATTTTTTTTTTAAATTTTGGTCGATTTTTTGATCAGATCAAAACTCGATAGGTCATTGTACGGAGAAGTATATATAGAACATGTAGGAAAATTCGAGTGTGATCGGATCATTTGTTTTTGAGTAATCACTTCAGCAATTTCGAGAAAAACGCGTTTAAAGATAAAATGATTGTTTTCACTCGTAGCTAATGAGACTCTCTAGCTGCCGAGCGACTGCTCTTTAAATTGCTATAACTCAAAAACTATTTGAGATATCGATTTGAAATTTTAATATGTTAATATGTTATTTAAAATGTGTACCTACCGAAATATAAAAAAGATCGATTTTTTTTGAAATTTCACACTAGGTGTGCCCCTTAAAACGGCGGTTTTACTCCCCCTCCGAGTGGCTTGCGCAAAACTCCGCAGAGCACGTCCCTAGCACACAAATGGAAGAATTTTCGGCAATACAAATCTACTTGTATTGTACATAAATGTCATTTTATTGGTAGCAACAAATTTATTTCGAAGAAATAAAGTAAAGCACACCCTAATGTTTGTATGTATAAACGCAACTACAACTGAGTGCTTACACATATTTACATGTGTAAGTATATAAAATCACTTGTTGACTGCTCCGTTTGCCAACGGTATTTATTACATTTACTACTATTTGTTCCTATACCTATATAAACATACATATATGTATATGTACGAGTGTGTATGTGCGATGGAGCTTTTACCATTTTTGCACTTTTCCAGCCAACCACTTTGCCATTGGCATTGGCCATATATAATATTTTTGTAAAATTCAAGTGCCATTTTTTCAACTAGTAATTAATTACTTTAATTTGTTCGATTATTAATTTATTGCATTTTTTTTATTGCGAGCAACAGACTCGATAAACACTTTGGTGCAACACCATGCAAGTGGGTGAATGTATGCACGAGTACATATATATATATACGAGTATATGTATGTATGTATGAATACAAAAGAATGTATATTTGCATGCCTTCGGTTAGTCGCAGTTGGTTGTCGCAACGCAGTTTTATGTGCTTAAGTTACAGTTGTTGTTTTTGTTGTTATAAAAATGATATACGGTCGATGGTTTTATGGAAAATGTCACCGACGCAAGCTTTGTGAACATTTTTCCATGAGAACTATATATGTATATATATAAAAGTATGTTTTTGTATAGGGTTATCCATTTTTCGGTTACGAAAATAAACGTATATAAAATATACATATTAAAAAAATGGGTTTTCATGAAATTAATTTTTCATTATAAAATCTGAATTTTAATATTAAATGAGAAATACAACATCATGCAAATGACCGCCTTCCGAAGTTTTGCAAACTTGGATCTGTTTGAGATACGTACGGCCACGCTTTGGTACGTCTTAGGCGGTATCTCAGCTACAACTTGACGAATGACGGTCTTCCTCGTAGTCCTACATTGTCAAATTTTAAGATCTGGAAGGCCAATTGACATCGCCGAGACGGGAGACTTCGCAGCCGGGAAATTTCTCTCGGAATAAAGCCATATTCGCTCATGTTGTGTGGCATGTGGATTCATCTTGTTGAAACCACATATTGTCCTAGTCTTGTTCTTCAATTGCAGACCAATGAATTCGTTATCATCCGGCCATAACGCATCGAATTGAAGGTGACAGTCTCACCGTTGTCCATTTCAAAGAAGTAAGGTCCGATCACAGGCCGAAGAGCGTACCTAACAATAAATTCTGTTTTTGGTGTAATTGTAAATGTGTTTCTTGAATTTGGAAATTATCGGTTGTATTATATTACAATAGAGAAGGAAAACGATAAGATATTTCATCTAAAGCTTTGTGAAATCTAACCGATCATATTCCATAGCGTATTTATCTAGTGGAGAGCGCTGGAAGAAGCGTTAGGAAATCCTCCTCAATGACGCTCGATTGCATGGTAATTATTACACTTATTAACATCGCGAGATTGCTCATAGAGGCTGGGCACTGCTCTGCCCCTGTTGAGGTCTGAAAAGCGAACGCTTTTCAACTTCATGAGCCCTGAGTATACATATATATTAATGCGTCTCCAAAATGGCTTCTAAAAACATTTAAGCGGCTCTTTTCACTCAGGCGAGAATAAACAATCGCTTTTAGACTAAAAGCGAGAGTTATGAATTGATGATTTGTGAGGGAGTTTTTAGACTCTCTGCCCCCATGGCGCTTTCCAAGTGAATGAGGATATACTGCTGACGCCATTTCAGTTAAAGAAACCAATATTTTTATTCCAGAAATTGGCTTCACTATGAAGTCAAGTTATTTTCATTAATGGGGACTTGAGTTTCCCAGATCATTTCAAAGACACGGGTACTTGCAAAGCTGTTATGCTTGAAAATATCGGCATCGTAGATTTGCTATTAGCGGTCAGAAATTAGAAGGAAATGCATCTGGAACTTGCGGCTCTCCGACGGACAGATAGATCTGGCGTTGCGGTAATACTTGTATATGCACGATCGCAAGACCTTGCTGGTCTTTGGTGGATCCTGGGAGATCAAAGGATAACTGAGCACTCATCAACT